AGGGTTGTGTCTGGTATCCGGGAGGGGAGTGACTATACAGGGTGAACGCCTGAACGGTCATAACCACATCCCCATGATTTGTCACCAGTTATGACCCTTTTAAGCAAATCTGAAACGCCGTTCACGTTATTCAACGATTCCTAAGCAAGGATCATGGTACGAGTTTTTTGGTAAATATTTAGCAATTTTGGAATGAATGTCACTGCCATACGCTTCATTCAAAAAATTTACAACTGTTTCTAAGCACTCAACTCCATTTTTAATAAAAATTTGATGCAAATTCTTCGATCCATTTTTTCGATAGCAAAAAAAAACGCCTAATTTTCATGGCCTGTCACCAACAAACTGAACCAAACAGCTGAAACCATTTTTTACTCAAAATTTCAACTTGCAAAACACTCATAACTAAACTAAACAATAAATATTACTAGAGTTTTTTCCCAACACCAAATCGTTATTTTTATCACCTCGACATGTGTTTCGATCAACAAGTGATCATCTTCAAGAGGAAGATTAAACTGTTTAATCTTCCTTTTGAATTTTATCACTTCGACACGTGTTTCAATCACCAAGTGATCATCTTCAAGAGGAAGATTAAACTGTTTAATCTTCCTTTTGAAGATGATCACTTGGTGATCGAAACACGTGTCGAGGTGTTAAAAATAACGATTTGGTGTTGGGAAAAAACTCCAGTAATATTCATTACTACACCAAAGGTTCCGATCAGTCTTAAGTAAACTAAACAAGTTAAACAGCTGAAACTGTTAACATATATTCGAGAAGGGTGTACCAACACAAAAATATCGCTAATCGAATGTAAGTAGCCCGCGATATTTGAACATTCTATCCTCTGAACAGTTCAAGTATTTAAAATTTCGAATTTCGTGAGCTTGAAAAATATATTTGTACATTATGAGTCTGTGTCATCCGGTATAGTTATAGCAATTTCGTTCAATGGACCTTTTCAATCTTATATTTAATTCACTAAACTCGATAGGAAGGAAAAATGGGCAATATTAAGAAACACTGATAATATCGTTTTTGATTTTTATGGAAAAATCTATTTTTCATTAATACAATTTTAGAAAATCTCTAACGATGATAAAAAGTCAAGTTGACTGTGGATACGGTCCTGCTTGTTCGACAAAATTCATCAAGTATTTAAAAAGAGCAGATATTCAACTGACTACCTGCGACGTATTTTTATCCGTGGTCACAGAGGATTTATTTTTAAAAATTATGTCACCCGATAGGAAGTGAGGTAATGTTCCAAACAGAAAAATTGACTATACCATTAATAAACAGCAATTTCGATTCTGAAAAATGTGGCCAAGGTCGAAATTATAATTAATATTGTTGAAATCTCAAGTGCAATTATAGTTTTGTTGAATTTCAATCCGCGGCGCGGTTTCCACACTCACAATTTCAAATAATTAACGTTGATCTTACTATTGATGAATGGAACATTCGAGTCTGTCAGTGAATGGGAAATCACAAAGGTGGAGGTCACACCTACGTTTAAAAATAAAAAAAATAGACCGTTCTGAATGACGGGGTCGGATGATCTTTGTGAGAGAAGAAAGAGGTTTTTTCGGGTGGGTTGAATTCAAGGTAATTTATGCAACGTCTTAGGCTAGTTGCACACACATTTATGCAACAGTATCGTTATTAAAATCGGCCTAAAATGTTGGACACGTTCATAATATATAATAGTCAAAACCAAAAATTTTTTACTTATATAACAGCATCATTATTAAAATCTTCCTAAAATGTTAAACATTTACACCATTATAACCTATGACCTTGAAAATGTTACACATGTACAGGGTCACAAGTTATCATCCATATATTCTTTGAGAGAATAATGGGATTTATCCAGGAGCAACTCTTTGATTTGATAGTTATACTGTTTTAGAGTCAGATTTATTATTGTACTTGGAAGTTTATTGTACAATTTAATGGCCATAAGCCTGGGACATGATTCAGGTACAACTACTCTGTGTCTTGGCACTTCCAACTATAGTGAATTTCTAGTATTATAATTCTTATTACCATTAAGAGTAGGATAACAAAAAAGTGTACCTCCTCTTGTTGTCGAATTGATACATTAATTGACGTTACTAGTAAACTATGATCTGGAGTGGTTCTTGAATGATTAAAACGTAAAAGCACAGTTTTTCTTTCATTTAACAAAAGACCATTGTCTGAGAACCACTATTGGGTTCTTTTTATTTCATCAGATGCTTTATCAACTGTGGCTTCAATATTTTCCTGAGTTATCAATAAAGATGTGTCATCGGCATACATAACGAACTGATCACTATAAAAATCATTTACATATATTATATATAAGACTACCTGGGTTTTATCTACCCAATTAATGACTATTACTGGAGTTTTATCCAACACCAAACCGATATTTTCAACACCTCGACACAAAGTGATTATCTTCAAGAGGAAGATTAATCTTTTAATCAGTTTAATCTTCCACCATACTTCCCAGACTTCATCGAATACCGATCACGCAATTTTTATTCTGACGGAATAAATCATCTTATGTTACATTGACAAAAGTGCACTGATTCATATTCACCGAGATATAACAGTTCAAAAGTAGACTCATAAAAACGGACAAAACTTTTCCAAACAACCTAATATTTCTCTCAATCATATATTTTTTTAGAAAACAAGTCACCGTAAAATTAGTATACCTCAATTTTGAATCGTTCATTAGAACAATTATATAAACAAAACAAGCTCAAGTCTTTTGAAATTGTTTTCAACACTACAAAAACATGATATCATAGTTTATTTACAGGCACCTATCAAATACATCCGACTGTTTGTCTAACTGAATACGAGCGTCACCTTAATTCGGATTTTTATATATTGAAAAATCATTTTCCAGAGAAACAAATAGAACCAAATTTCTAGTTTATTTTTGGTGATCGCGAATATTATGTAAATTCTATGATATTGAACAAAGGGTCAAGTAAAAGTGGTTGTGATAACCAATTCGATCCAACATCAATCAGTAGTGCTGGAAATCATAGGTTGATTTGAAAAATTCAATGAATCTTATTTCAAACCGTGTTTTACCCTCTACCACTATTTTACATTCCATTCATAGCTATGTTGATTGAAACATAATCCATATTTCTTCTAGATTTGATTTCTATATATGTATAAGTGGAAAATGTATAATTGAAGTAAATTAATGACATAATATTCGTGTAGAGTATTACCTGAAAGTTATGATGTAATAATACCCAAGAAAATACCTTTCAAAAACCCCCCAATTTCGTGAGACATGCGAACATCATTATAGCGCTAATTTATGACGTAATAAGTACTCTGTTCAAAGCCTCGGTAGATAACAACAATATCCTTAGGTGGATTGAAGGGCACGACAGGAGTAAGGGTAATCGCATTGGCGACTCTTTAGCCAAGAAGGCGGCTGGACTAGAAATTTTAGGACCCAGTGACACCTACGGCCTGATGACTTCGACAATTGCGGAACTAGCCATACGTCACACCCATGTTCAACACCTAACAGTAGGACTGACTGACTGACTGACTGACTGGACACTGTCAATTAAGGAAACACCTCCACAATATGGGGCTAGTGGATACACCTCCATGCAGGATGTGTAAGAAGGAAGATGAAACTGTCAGGCATGTCCTATGCGAATGTCCGGAGTTATCGTTACTAAGGAGATGTCTCCCAGAGACCTGTCCACCTTCCTGGAAAGGACATGACGATGACCTAGGAGGACAACTCCTCGGGAGAATGTACACTCAACCTCCCTACTCTACAGATACAGAGCTGTCAATTCTAACATCCCACAGAACTCCAAGGAAATATTGATCAGTTTGTACTGTACTAATTTTTGATTGAGTACTAATTTTTGATTGAGTTCTACTTGAATAATAATTATATAATGAACTAATTGCAAAAAAATATGCAAAATATTTGGCAAGGCCTTCACTTAAACATTTGTGAATTTTGTATTTGAAACCAGGTTTTCAAGTGTTGTTTCAATTACTTGAAGTGGATTATTTGTACCAAGTGTTGATTCAATTTGCTTGTATTATTTGTAAAGATGAATTTTATATGTAAAAATACCAAGAAGTATAGCTCATCCACGAAGTGGACCATTCTGATTTATTTTCAATATTTCGTTCTTGGTTTTTGGAGCAACGTGGAACAAAACACTTCTTTACAGCCACTGCTATGTAAAAACCTTTTACCAATGATAACAACATAGCAGGACATCTTGAACTGGCATTATAACAATACTTATATTCAGTGTTATCTACTATCCCCGTCAATACCTACCGTTAAAGCCGTAATTAGCGGCATTGACAGGGTTACTGAGAGTATTCAGAAGGTCAGTGAGACAAGCGTTTTCAGTCTCAAATACTGTCGAGCCACAGCACTCTTGATAAAAAAAAATGATAAAAAGATCCTTTAATTTTCAGCCTCCCATTCACAAAGGTTCTGAGTACACTTAAAAGTGACCCTGCTAAATAATGTCAAATTGGTACTACAATTTCTAAAGTTATTTATATTTACGAATAAATTGATATCAAGTGAAAGATTGTTTACATTGTGGTTCATAAATTAAAGATCGGAACAAAACATGCCCAACAGATTTCGACTATTGCTCCATCTATCAACACGAGTACAAAGTTTGGTTCAAATTTATTTCTCACGTAACGAGTTTAAGATGAAACAAAAGCGAATCTGTTTGAACACCAAGGTTTTTACATGGGGAATATTCCTCCTGACAAAAATCAAGTAGTTTTTAAAAAAGAGCTCTAAACAACGCATTTTAAACTTAATTGCGAAAAAGATGATACCACTTTTCTCACTGTTCTGGAGGTGTTTGAATTTTTCCCAGATATCAGTGTTCTCCATCATTTTCAATTGATAGCTTTGCATTCTTACACAGCTGCAAAGATACAAAAAAAGTGGTAATAAAGAAAAAATCACTCACCAAAGTAACAATATCCCGTTTGCATCTGTCTGCGATCTCCTTCAGTCGCCCGTACAGGAAGTCCACCAGGTACTGGTACCTCTCGTTGAAGTGATCCAACTCGTCCGCGACCAGGTCCGCTCCGGATGGCTGGCCTCTGCTCCTCGACCAGAATGCTGCGTCGGCGTCCAACGATGGTTGGTCCTCCAGCAGGGCTTCGCGGAACTTCTGCGCCCCCTTGCTCCAGATCTGGTGTTAGGGTTAGAGGTTAGGTGTTAGGTTAGTCCAGTAAGTGCGTGTGGTGAGTCGAAATTACATGGAAGCGAGTGATATTGGTGGTGGTGTGGTGGTGCATGGAGAAGACTCAATCGATGGAATCAGGTAAGTACTTGTTTGAACCAGTTCATTTATATTTGAGAGCTTTGAATCCCTTGAAGATATTTCTAGTGAAATGATCTTATTTTAAATTGTCAAAGGTTCATAATGGCAGAATGACACTTTGAACCCTCGACATTTTACTCAGATCTGATTTTTCAAAATAATAAAAATACGGAGGGAAGGGAGTCTGTTCTCTAACAATAGACCTATTCGGAGGTATAAAATAATGAAGAATTGTCAATAATATTTTCAGATGAAACATTATGAAAACAATGTTTTTGACTAAGAACTGTTACTGTTTTTCTAATTTCCATCGATTAGGTCTTCAAAACATGTTCATCATCAAAATATTCGAGTTTGTCATAACAAATAACGAATTCAAATGAATGACACTCAATGATTCAGTAGAATCAACTTGAAATGCCCAATACTACGATAATTCATGAACACTGGGAAATCATCTTATAGGTTCGTATTTCCATTTTGCAAAAAAGTGATAACAGATTTGAAATCTATGTGAAGAAAAAATCAATGACATATTAAAAATATTGAAAATAACGAAATTACCAGGAACTCAATGTTCAGATGATTTCTTAAATTGAAATCAATATGGGAATGATCAAAAAGTAGTAGTAGAAAGCCAAAAACTTTCTTTCCCAAAAAATCAAAAAGTACTTATCTATTCATTTTTAGATTTTCATGGAATTATTTTCCAGCAGCTTGACTGCATTAACCTTTCTAGATTTCATATCATTTCTAGAAACATGTGGATTCGTTTTCCGATGGCATTTCAGGTTAGCTTCTCAAATTTCTGCTACCGCAGTTGTCGGTTGATTAGTCAAACCACCAACACTGA